AAGAAAGCGAGAGCTCGCTGTCAAAATCCGACGAAAGGTAGATCTCTTGTAAGAAATGGGTATCGGCATGACACGATCGAATTCGGACAATAAAAGTTCACGTCCCTTCACGATCCGGCCAGCGAATGGAAAGACCGAAAGAGAAAGACGTTCCCAATCGTGGAAAATAAATCTCCATATCTGACACGAGGCGGAATAGATCGACGCTTTTCTATGAAAAACCGTGGAAGAATACTCTTTCAGGCTGCGTGGAATCAGAGAGTGAGAGAGAGAGAGAGAGAGAGAGAGAGAGAGACAGAAAGGGTCGAAGGGCGATAGAAACGAGGGGAGAGGAGGGGAGAGAGAGAGAGAAGAAAAAAAGAGGGAGGAGGAAAAAGGAACCCGATGATTTCTACTTGGCTATGAAAGAAATCCTGCACGAGCCGTTGAGGGTAGGAAATGAAACGATAGAGCGAGGGAAAAAGAGAAGATCGTCTGGCAGAAAAAGAGGAGGAAACTACTGGTAGTAGCGGGTCATTCTTCGTAGCACGGGGACCGTCTCGAATCCGTCTGTTCAAAGAAGTTCCCTCGAAGGAAAAGAAGAGGAACCCTCGACGAGGCCGATGCCCGTTCTCAACTATACTTTCGTCGTTTCTCTACGCAAAGGTAGAAAGGTATCGTTCGATCCCACTGCAATTCAATTGATACTCGCGGAGAAATTGATGGACTAGATCGGCGAGTCTCGATCGACAAAGATTTTCTTCGTCACATTGATTGAAGATTGATTATGGAAAGAAACGTCTTCACTGATGGCCTATGAAACACTTCGAATCACTTCGAATGTGACATCTTGGAAAATTCTAAAACTAGCATTGGTTGGTTTCATATGTGGTAAGGTTTGATCTTCGAAAGTCTTGAATCTTGAAAATGTTGAAAGTTTTGAGACAGATGACAGATATTCATCCAATAATTTATTAGATGAAAAATTTAATATATAATCTTACGATAAAATCTAAGAGTTCTATCGAGAAACTTAGTGAAAATTCTCATTTTGAAGAGCAGATCATCAAAAAGATAATGATTTGTGCGGCATAGTTGGGAAGGGAGCGATTCGACGTGAAAAATTTTTGTCACGCGAGAATTTCTCTTCAAGGAGATTAAGTTGAACATTTGCCTGGTGAGTAACAAGCCTCGCTGGAAACTATAATAGATTGATTTATTATACCGAATACTAAAGTACCAAAAAAATATTGATCATTATAATCGTGCCCCATTATAATGCCTGTATACCAATCTACGATACAATCGTGGAATACCTTCGCGGATCACTGTGAATTAATCACTGCTACGAAATAACTTATCGATCCCGTTACTTACCAAACGAGCACCGAAACGCAGCATATGTTTGAAGTTGAGATTTACTGGGACGGGAGGAAGGGATCGAAGAAGTTCGTACAGGTCGATACGTTCCTTTCATTTCGATCTATAATCCGCAAGGACGATGCTTGCTTAGCTGAATCAACTTCCGTTGCTGTCGCGATAGATTCTTCGGCCGCGATTTGTCAAGTTTTAGCTGCCAAGCTTAGCTACGAGAAACTCGAACGTTGAGAAACACGATTACGGGTATCAATTTTGCTTTCCTTATTTGAACTTG